ACCCGCACCAGTATTCTGATACTCGGCATAAAATAGCGTGTTCAGCGCGAAATTGCCATCCCACTCGTACCACCCTGCTGGATGTACAATGTCGCTTATATCAGATTGCATAATGACAGTCCTCGAGTATTCCCTCCACGGCCTCCCCAAATATGTTTCAACTCTCCCATTAACAGCCTGGAGATCTGAAGTTGCTCTAATCCTACATCTTTGGATGACTATTCCAGTGTTCTGGTTTGGATCATCCCTGCCTTGAGCAGTGACCATGTTTCTCTGCCCGGAATTGGGGAGCCGAGCTTGGATGTCACAGTTTTGAAGCACAACTGCTGCATTGCCGAATATGAAATCGATTGTGCCTGCTATGATGCAATTGACATAGAATTGGCGCAGTGAATGTACATACAGAGTATCCTGATACGCGAGCATGCTGCATCTGTAGAAAGCAGATAGGTCGGCGTTAACCCGGAGTGCCACCGCTTGTTGCTTTGATGGCCCTGCATTGTTTTGGAATGTGATATCCCTCGCCAAGAATCCATCACCAACCACGGCTGCAAATAAAATCAGACGTCAAAAGTTCAAAACCAATATTTTGTTAAGCAATATTGGACACGACTCCACACTGCTGTCAAACAACTTATAGCCCACTAAATGAATGTAGAAAATCAATCCTTTAGCTAGTCTAGCTTTTGGAGTTAGAACTGAGTGAGACCTCGTACTTGGGGGGCTTATTAAGAATACTACATAATATCTCTACTCTGAATCTCGTTAAGATGCTGCCCTTGAATTTGTAATAAGTAAGCGCCTACTTTCAGTAAATTGCAATTCTTTTTGTGTGTCGGGCAGCGCTTTAAGATTCATCTGGTTAGCACTATCCAATTGTCCTGATCACGTGTAACATAATTGTGAAATTCAGAAATATACAGTCTGAACAAATAACTACAGAAGGCCCGTGGTCCATGCTCAGTCAGCTGGCAGATTTAAAGAATACTGGTCCCTCAATTCTTAAAAGACAATCAACATAATTTGGTTTTGTGGACATATTTTGAAGCGGGATAAGACTAATAAAATATATCTATTATTAGGAAGCAATTTAGACCACTACTTGGGAGAGTGTAATCGGTTGATTATTGTCCCGTCTAACTTACTAAATATAGCTCTAATATATTTTAAATATGAATAAGTTTATTATTAATTATAAGACTAACCAACTGTGGCGGAGTTGAAGGTGGTGCTGCCATCCACAACATTGAGGCTTGCGGTAATGATGGTGGTCATCCGCCCGTCTCCGACGAACATTAAGTTAGTCTTCCTCCTCGGAATTTCCACATTTTCTCTATACACACCAGCTCTAATCCTAATTATATACCTCCTAGTGCTCCTTTCGGGGGCTGCTGCCACTGCTGATGATATTGTCCGATAATTTCCACTTCCATCGGCTGCCACAGTGACGTCAGGCATCACAGTTGAAGCCTGCAGCAGCCTCCTATCTCCAGCGGACAACCATTTAGGCCATTCGTGTTCATTTTCCTCTCCAAGCTTCCTCTCCACAAAAGAATCCCCATTGCCAGCCATTTGCGCATCTGTAATGTTCTTAATCATGGCTAGAACGTTACTAACCAGTCGAAAAACATGCATCTGACCCTTCAAAAGAGCGGAACGGACTCTTTTATCTGCCCCATCGTGAGAAAAACCGTCAAGGCAGCTTTCTTGATTCGTTTGCGCAGCGCTCAACAACGTCTTGAGATTATCAACATAATCCGACAACGAGTAATTCTTTGAGCCGTAGTTTTTAAGTTCATCCTCTGATTCATGAAGCTCATTCAATGTGTCGTCTATCATTTCGAGGCAGTCGTGGAGAGCACTCTTCTCGCGCACTGTCAGGGATTTGCGCTTAGCAGCGAGTTTCTTTACAGTGAAGTAATTGTGCTGGACAGTGGTAATGGTGTAGTTGAGTGCAGTCATTAGTACATCCTTTCTGCTCTTTATGCTGCTGAAAGCCTCTGGCACGGCTGCAATGGTGGACATGCATAATTCCGGGTACAATGTGGCGGCACAGGTAGATTTCACTATCGCTTGGGCTGAGCCGCCACCGCCTTCATTCTTCCTTGATCCAACAACAGCTGCTACTGTAATTGCAGCTACAAGTAAAGTTGCCAGTGAGAAAACGAGAAAGATTTTTCTCTTGTGATGCTCGTTCTCATCAGAATTTTTGTTATCCAACATTTTTGCAAGCTTTAGATTTTGTCCCCAAGAAGCGAAAATAAGGAGACTGCTCACCACCCAACAAAAAG